GCCTGGCTCTCCCTTACTGAGCAGAGGAGGCTGCAGAGCAAGGAGTGACTGAGACAGTTTTAATCTAACCAGTTCAGGTAGCAACTAATAGCAGGTGATGTGCCAGGCCACCTGTTAATGCCAAGGTCCTAAAATCACAGGAGAACACAGCACCATATTTAATATGGGGCCACAATGTCATCGCTGGCAGCTGACTGCTGCTGTGGTTCTTCAAGAGCTGAGGGAGGCTGTGGATATGGAAGTCTCCAGGCAGTCCAGAAGTGACCAGATAAGTATAAAGAAGAAGAAATTAATCCCAAAGTGGTGCAGCTTCTGCTGGCTCATAACGACTGTGAAGCAGCTGAAGTAGGCCAGTATGATGCCATGCTGGCCACATGCTCCTGGCTGGCCCCTACAGAGGACAGCACTGAAGGTTAGACAAGTCTCTTGGACTGACCCAGCAAAGGGCTTTCCTTGTGGTGTGTTCCTCAGGCTCTTTTTGCGGATGAGATCAGCTCTTGGCTTTGCAACCTGGCTGAATGTAAGCAGCACCCTGCTTTTCTCATCTTCCTCTGCCATCTAATCCAACTCCCCCATTCTTCTCGCTGTGTCTTTTCCTACACTCTTCATGGCAGGAGGAGCAGTTCTTGAAGCATCACACACACAAGCATTGCAGCTATCCCATGCCAAGCCTGGTGCAGTAGCACACACCCCACATCCACTCTAGGGAAACCTTGGCTAGGCTGGCTGGCAGCCCTCTGCACATGGGGGCACGCAGCAATTCTCCTGCCCCATGCTGCGTGGAATGGTTTGCCTGCAGGAGTGTTAGGCACTAGGTGAAATTACTGATGTCCCAATCTTCACTCAGAAGTGTGTGGAAACTCTCCCAGAAGCGTTAGGAGGTGTCCTGGGGCCTCTCTGTGCCAGGCTGTTGTTCTGGGCTGTTGCACACAGGGGGGTGGGCAGGAGCAGTGAGGCCACCGTGGCATGGCTCTGTTTTTCCCATCGTTAAATTTAAGGATGCAGCTACAGTTACTATGTCTTGGGGAGAGGGGTTGGATGGGGGCTGCACATGGTCCCCTTCAGCCATGTAAGAACTACAGCTCTGTAAATTTTGGCCAAGGCTACCTTGTGGCATGGCACCAATGCAGATCACCCAGGCTGAACGTGTGGCACAAATAATGCCTTGGAAACGCAGGATGCTGTGTCCCATGAGGCTGTTGCAGCACAGTTAGGCACCATGGCAGGGCTCCAGCTGCCTCTGCACCAGGTATCCAAATATCTCACATTTGGAGCAAGGAATAGCAGTGCCGTTCTGCCCTTGACAATTTTCAGTCTGCTCCTTCTTGATTTGCTTAATGGGATCTGACTCGGTCAGCATTTAGGGTCTGGGGTCCCTTAGGGTTTAGCTGTGAAATGCTGCCAGATATTCATATTAGCTCATCAGCATCAGAAACCCAATTTCCTCCCCTTGAAAGCTGTTGCGTGGTCACGGACTTGACAGTGCTGCCCAATTGCCGGGGCGGGGTGGGGGGGACGAACAGCTCGGGATGTTATAGCAAACTCCCAGAGCACAGGCTCAAGGTCAGCCAAGCGGGAGACGGCAGGGACAGCCCCGAAGCTCCCGGTGCCAGCGGACAGGGAGCAGGGACGGGCAGCCGGGGGTGTCCGGGGAGGTTCTGCGGGCTCCACCGGCGGGGCGGCTCCGCGCCGCGGCCGCCAGAGGGCGCCGGAGACCGCGGGCTGGCCCCGTGCTGCTGCGGGACCGGGATGGGACACCCGGGATGGCCACGGGATGGGACACCCGGGATGGGCACGGGATGTGACACCCGGGATGGCCAGAGGATGTAATGGCATGGGGATGTGCGGGGATGGCGAGGGGGCTACAGGACAGGGGGTTTGCGAGGGGTATGTACGCCGGGGGCTGCAGGGATGGGGGATTGCGGGGGGTCTGTGCGCTCGGAGGCTGGGGGCTGCGGTGTGCTTGTGCCCACCGGGGGAGCCGTGCCCACCGGGGGAGCCGTGCCCACGCGTGCCTGGCCACATGTGCAGGTCCCGCCGTGCAGCAGCGCTGGGCACGCTCGGGGAGGGCAGTGTGCAGGTGTGCGGGTTCTGCAGCACACTGTGCCCGCTGTGGGGCTGGCACTGTCCCCCCAGCGTGGGCGCTCACCCGTGGACCTGTGGGAGCGGCAGGGGCATGCACAGCCCACAGCAGTTTGTGCATACACGTGGAGAAGTCATCATGCAAACATGGGCTGGCACAGCCTGAGGTGTGCCTGGGAGAGAAGGGTGACAGTGATAGAATGAATTGAAAACGGATGCTACTTCCTGCAGAAAATCTCGCTCAAAGACAAGCATTTTACTTTCTTCCAGCACTTTCACGCTCTTTCTTATTACACTTGAGCAGCTGTTGTCCTCCAAAACATTATTTATTATTATATATAGAATTATAACCTCCCCACATTTTTACAGTGCTTGTGACAGTAAATATAGCACCCACAGCATGTACTCTATGTGCTGTAAAACCCAGAGATTCCATGTGGCCCCCAGGGTTATGTGCAGAGGCCACACTGGATCCCAGTGCTTCCAGTCAGCCTAACACAGTGCCCAGCATCTGCATGCCCTGCTGGTTAGAACAGCTGCTGGTCTTAGCCTGTGGTGTGGCACAGAAGATGAGCATGGAGAGGTTTCTGCAGCCTCAGACTAGGACACACAGGGAGCCACAAGAACATGTATCATTTTTCATCTCTGGAGATGGGAGTTTTGGCTTTTCAAATGCCCTCAAACTTAGACACACAAGCTCAAGCAGAACAGAAGCTGGTGTGACCCTCTCCCAAGTCCTCCATCACACCATATGTCTTTGTGTGTCCTCTCTTATACCTGGATATTGCAGAGGCTGATCTCTTCACCACACCACACCACACCATGCCCCTGCCCCCAGTCCCCACCAAGCTCACAAACTCTGATCCGTGCATTTAGATGCATTAAGGCAGCAGTACCCAGCCACAGCCAAATGTCCCCTTGCCTCTGCTCTGCTGGGTGTGCAGTGATTGCCACCATTGATGCAAATGTTCTTGCTCTGGTTGCATGGATGCCCTAGGAAAGTGGCAAAGAGGAGGAATGGTTGTCTTGAGTATGATATGTACATGTCCATGTATGCGTTAAGACAAATAGTGTTTAAGACATAGTAAAAATGTGGTGGCTGATTTTTTTTTTTTTGTGGGCAACAAACACACCCTGCCTGGTGTGCTCTTGTTTATTTGCTGGGCCAGATGAGTCATGTTTTATGCCAAAAAGGGATGCAAAAGGTCACAAACAGCCACCACACCATTATTTGACTGTGAGAGATACTTTTTCTGAAACATAGGTAAGTCAGGGGTAGTAGCTGAACTGAAACTTGTTCCTGAGTTTAGGGGAGGAAATAAAACAAGTGAAAAAAACCCAGTGTTGTAGGATTTGTGTGACAAGACACAAAAGATGCAAGTGGACTAACTGAAAAAAAAGGAAGCCATAGATGGAACATAAATTTTCCACACAAATCAGCACATATTTACTTAATAATGAAAGAATAGAACTGGGGCACAAACAGCTACTCTAGTCAGCTACCTTAGGAAGAAATCAGACAAATGGAAGTGCAACGGAATTTGAGGGACTCTGGAGATATCCCTCTTGGATTTGCTGCCTTTTAGTCAGCAACTTGAGTTTAATAGTGACTGTGCTGCTGAGCAAGCCTGTGGCACCTGTGCTCCACCCAGGAAGCAGTTGTACTTCAGTCTCAAGGAGCTCTCCTGAACACGGCCTTTGTTTTTTTGGTTTTTTTTTTTTGGCTCCCCTCTGCCATAAGAAACAGTTTTTTTGGTAGTAAGCATGACTTCTTTCTTCCACAGCAGGATCAGTTCCAACATAAAACCGCGCCTCCATCTCCACACTCCAGCATCTTAGAGGCACATACACGTACAAATGCACACGTACGTGCACGTGCGTGCATGCGTACACGAGCACTTTGTGTGCACACATGCATGGGGAGCACTGCATTTACAGACCCACAGCCACATGCACCTCCCTGACCAGTTATAAAGAAAAGGCTGCCGAGGCTTGGGATTGCAGGGTGAATTTAAAACAGCATCACTGCCGTTAAAGCCATCCAGAAAAGGGAGCCTATAAATGAGAGGATGAATGAGAAGATGTCAGGAGTGCTAGCGCTTAATATTCCCGGAGCGAGGCTGCATTATTTGTTGCTGCAGCAGCGTGCTTCTCCCTGCCCCCTCTGACAGAGCCGGCAGATGCGCATGCACACACGTGCAACTTCATTTCCCACCCTCATGAAAAATCAACCTCGCCGTCATAGCCTGCACCCTCACCCCATAGGTGTCGTGCCACGGGGCTGTAAGTGCCGCAGCGAAGCCTTCTCCACCCCGATTCAGAAATAGATCATTCCAGTGCAGCCCTGGGAGGGAGGGGAGGTGTCTGCTGGTTGGGCCCGTGTTTTATTGATCGGACCGCGGTGATGAATCAGCTCCTGTGGAGCCTGCAGACAGGTACCGGCCACTGTGCAGAATTACAATGAGTCCTGGCATCTCAGGGCCACCACTGGGAAGGCGGCAGAGCGGGCAGGTGTGGGGGTGGTGGCCATCTGCGAAGGTGTGAACCACATCCCTGCACTGGAAGGCCAGCAGCTCCCAGCTGGAGGCACAGCAAGGGCTGGGATGTGGTCAGCAGCCAGGGTTGAGCCTCCCCGCTTGCTCCAGGCCATGTTCCTCCAGTGTGGGTGCTGTTTAGAGAGCCACATGCCACTGGAGCGTTGGGCTGAGGGAAGGAGGATGCTGATGAGCTGGCAGGCAGCAGCCTGGAGCTGGGCTGGAGGGAGGCTCACCAAGGTGGGAAGGCAGCTGTGCCCTGCAGGCCAAACCCTCCACTGCAGGAGCAGCCTGGGACTGAAGCGCTGTGTTCCTGTGTCGCCCCCATCTCGCCCAGCCTCGTGTAACTTTGTCTTCTTTTCTCTCCCTTCTCGCACCCTGCAGGACCCGGCACAGGGAGAGTAGACAACGGCTCCATGAGTTTGGCCGTCCCACTGTGGCTTCTGGCAGCGTCCCTGCTCTGCCTACTCAGCAAATGTTAATACAAATCAGAATTAAAATAATAATATTAATAATAATTAAAAAAACAACACGACAACAACAACAACAACACACAAAACAAAACGCGTTATACAGGAGACAGAGCGAAGAGAGGGGAGAGAGAAAAAAGGGGGGGGGGAGAGAGAGACGACTGTTTCTTTCACAACTTTTGTGTGTTCAGAAGCGAAGAGGGGGGAGAGGAAAAATTACAGCAAAGAAGACTCAGCAACATTTAATCCAAAACCTGAAAAGCCGGCTGTCAAGTCATCGACTGCCTAGTAGGCAACACGAAGCGAGGGAGAGAATGGGGCACCAGCAAGGATCGTGTCACCAGAGGATGCTGCAATGTAAACAATCCAACAAAACCTGCAAAGCCAATCAAAAAGAAGATCCCTTTTCTTTTCTCTCCTTCCTCTTTTCCATACTCCCTCACTTTCCTTCCTTCCTCCTCTTTCTTTCTTTTGCAGAAAGAGGTCTTTGCTTCGGTGTCTATAGCCATTTAACTTTTTGGATGCCCTGGGTCATTTTTGTGAGCTAATGCTCCACCAGTTCATACTTTTAAAAACAAATTTAAAAAAAAAAAAAAAAAGATAAAAGAAAAAAAAATAGCCACAAACCAGAGCAAGTCACCTGAAGCTCTCTGCACACTGGTGTCCTGTGAAGAACTCCTTCCTCTCTTCACTTCACCCTGCACTCATGTGCACCCAGCCCTTGCTAAACACCTTATTTCCTGTCCCCTCCTTCATGCAACATCACCCCCACAGGCCTAATCTAAAGCTGTGTCAACTCCACTGAAAGCCTACTTTTCTTTTTTTCCTTTTAAAATCCTCTTCCTTCCCCCCCTCTCAATTCAACCAGGTGTCTTTCTCTTTCTCCTGTGTATGCCTGTGTGCGTGCGTGCATGCATGTGTGGCTCTTGCTCCGTCTTCACTCTTTCTCTCTTTCTCTTGCTCTCTCTAAGCATGCAAAATGAACAGTCCATGTGTACATACGCTCATCCTGTTGTAGATAATGTCCTGCCTTGTAAGTGTGAGACAAGATGCAGAGAGATCACTTAGGCAGAGAAGAGGGGTGAGGAGAGAGGGGCAGCTACAAAACAGGTTCACATTGTCCCCCCTCTCCTGTGTCCTCACTGGCTTTTTGTCTTCTGGCCACCTTGCTTGCAAGAGTCAGTCTGCACCGTTGTCTAGGCTTTTTCTCCTCTCCTACTTCCAACCTGTTTGGCTCTCAGCCTCCAAGTACCAGCGTAGCAGCTCTTGCTATGCATGAGTGCTTGCACACACGCATGGGGGTGTGCACTCATGTGCAATTGTCCAAGCAAGCAGAAGAAACCAGGACTGGCCTACAACACTATGGACTGAAGAGTGCAGTCACCATTCCTCCTGGGGATGGGAGGCTGGGCCGGTGGGATGTGAGTGATGAGACCTTGGATGTCACCAAGCAGCCATTCCTTTTAGGTGCAGTGTGCATAGGAGCGATACCTCAACATGAAAACCACAATCTGGTCGTTCTAACCATTTTGGTAGACATGCAAAAATAGAGCCAATACCCTTTTTTGTTGCTTTGTTGGTTTTGTTCTTACTGTCCTCCCCAGTATAAAAGGAAATGTAGGCTGTGTAAGGGTGAGTGTGTGTATGTGTGCATGTGTGTGTGCTGTATACCACTGCTATTACAAAACTCACTGCAAATTCCACGTTTGAAAGAAATTGGGTCAGAAAATATCCAGGACCTGCGAATGTAAGAAATAAAACAAATGTCAGGTCCAAAATCCTGGGTTTACAAAGAAGGAGCTTAAAATGATGCAGCGAAGAAGTGGGCAGCACAATTTCCCCTGCTCTTCTCTTATCTCAAGGGTGCTGGTCTTGCTGGAGAGTGCCCCACACTTCCCATGTGGTAGAATCACATACAGAGGTGCCAACAAGAGAGGCTTTAGTGGTTCCCAAGAGAGGAGGCAAGAAAAAGCTGTGAGAAACTGGGCTGAGAAAATGCTGGGCGGTGGCTGGAATTTGCAACACCAGCACAAGGTCTGCTGCAAGAGCCAGAGTGAGCAGGGGCTGCACTGCCTGTGTGTGGGTCGGGGCAGTGGTGAGAAGACTCCTGTGTCCCCTGGCCTGTCACAAGCCATAGTATCTACCAGCAGCAAAGATGATAAAACACGGGGTTTATCAGGGGGGGCTTTGTTGGAGAAAGAGGTGTGCAGGGGAGAGCTTGATTTAGCCCAGTGAAGTCGAGTGACCCTCCCAGGACAGCAGAGTGTTTTACAGGTGCTCAGCCACTCAGCTTTCCAGCAGCAGCCAGGTTGCTCCTCTGTCTTTGCCCTGGGCACTGGGGCAGTGGCAGCACGCTTGGCAGCCGTGCCCACATGCAGGCAAGGGGGAAACAGCTTGGCCTTGCAGAGTGTGGGAGGAGATCCCCGCCAGGTGGTCCCCAGCCGGGAAGGAAAGTGGGAATTGCTGCCTGCGAGCCCGTCTCCACCTTGGCGTGGGTGGGGCACAGTCCAGTGAGGCTGCTGCCTTGCACTGCGGCACTGCCAGCGCTGCTGAGCTCAGCTCTCCCAAGAGAGCAGGCAGGCAATTAAGCAGGCAGTCAAGGGCTCCTCCCAGGCAGCCAGAAGTGCAAGGAAATTTATTAAAGAGACACATGAGAGGCTGAAGTTTGGGCATTGCAGGGTTGGATGGTGGTTGTTTATGCTCCTCCAGACCACAAAGCCATACCTGCAAGTTGCAAGTGGGCAGCTGGTGCTTGAAATCCATCCAAGATATCCAGGGATGGCTCCCTTCCTCCAAAATAGGGCAGTCATTGGTGGGACTTGGGCATTTCCTTTGGAGACTGGTGTGTGTCAGCCCACAAAAAAAAATGCCCTGCATCCTTCAGAGCATTCAGACATGCCAGTCCTCGTGCCTGACTTTCAGGAGTGTCATAGAATTGAGTCTTAGTAACAAGTCCAGCTTTTCTGCTGCAGCAGGCCTCCTCTTTCCCCTGGTATGGCCCTGAGCTGATCCTGGTTCCAGGAGCCAGGTCTGGGAGCTGCACCCTTTCCTGCACACTGGCATAAGGGAAAACACCACAGAGCTGTTTCTCGGGGCTGTACCTATGCCTGGATTTATTGCCACAGGATTTTTTGTTGAAAAACGCGGGCAGCCTGCAGTGTCCTGCTGTGACAGGCTGCTCCTAAGGGCTGAGTCAAGCCCACTTTAGGTTCTTTGATGTCAACCCGGTTGCTATGGTAGCACCTATTCTCTGCATGTGTTTTTGTCACTGTGGGGTCACTCCTAGGCACTGGGGTCACACACATCAGACCCCTGTGGTGTGGCGGTGGTCATCAAGTCCTGGCACCTCATTATCTCATGTGTGTTTTGGTTCAAAGGAATTTTGAGGGGATGTTTTTTTTAGATGTCAAGGCATATGGTAAAAAGGGAGATAACTCACTAAAAGCAGGACGCCCATTTTTTGAAACCATCTGCCCATTAGTGGGGGAAATGGCCCCAGCTCCCGTGGTGGGATCTGGTCTTTCCTGCAGGCCCTGAGCAGATCTTTGTCTCTGTTGCATGGCTGTGAAATAGGGTGAAAGCCAGTTAATTGCAGACCTCTCTGAGAAAATTCACCAACACCAAGTATGCCTGTTGTCTGCAGAAGTGCTGGGAACCCCACTCCTGGCAATGTCTTTTCCTAGGGAAATTGTGGGTAGGTTGGAGCTTGATTTTCTCCAAGAATCTGATCCTGTGAGCTGCAGTGTGCTTCACAGGGTGCTGTAAAAATCCCCCTGTTTCTCCTGAACTTTTAGAGACTGCTCAAAGCACCTGTTCAGAGGTGATCCCAGATAAATATAGGAAACACAGGCAAGGTCTAATGCTTTTTCCCATTCTTCCTCTGCTCCATCCTCTGATGGAGATGTTGCAATGGCTTTTCTTGTGTCTCAGGCCCTTCTCTCTGAAACTCTTTCTCCTCATCATCTCTCTTCCCCATTTGCATTGCTATCTTTCTCATCACCTCCCAAAAAGCTGTGTTCGTGCTTCCTGCTGCCTCTCAGCTGGTTGGGGACCAGGGAAGGTGGGTGTTTGGAATGGGACACCAGTTCCTTGAGCTTGTCAGTGTAATTGTGTTTGATTGATGGAGATTTAACATTTAGTGTTATAAAAAGATATGAACAAAATGGACAAAAAAATTGTATTTCTTCTACTGGTTTGTAAATATTACAAGAGTTACACGAGATGTCTGGTAATGTCAAAGCAGAGGAACAAAAACTTAGATTTCATATATGGCCCCATAATTGCTAGCAGATTTCTAACCCTTTTCGGATGACCGAGAGGAGGGGTGAAGGCAAGTCTTTCTGGAAGGAACTGGACAGGGGAAATGCAGCCACCCCGAGCCACATGAACTCCATGCACGACTGTGGCATGTTGCTTGGAGCGTGTGCCTGGTGAGATGGAAAGCGAAGCAAACGCCTGTCTCTGAACGGCTGGGAAGAGTGATGTGGGATGCTCCAGCCGACCAACACCTGTACCTTGGCAGTTGTGTTCATTTCTGTTTGTTTGCAGCCCCGCACTCGCGAGCTCATTGCTCAGTGATGCACCCTCTCCTCCTGCCCCGTACCCGCTTCCTTCACCAGTGAAGTTGTGTCGCCCCACGCTAGCCCCGAGTGCATGTGAACGTGCCATTCATGGAGATCTCATTGGTGACATGCATTGTGTCAAGAGTTAGTCTTTGTCTGCACATCTTTCTCACACCACTGACTGTTCACCACTTGGGCAGATCGCTTGTGCACTGCTGCCTGCCCCACTGTTGGTCAAAGAACATCCAAGCCCCACCAGCTCTTCTTAGCTCCAGGTGCATCCAGACCATGCCCCCAGGCCACCTGTCTGAGCAACCCCGTTCTGAAAGTCCAGGAACACAGCATGGATAAACCCACCATCAAAAGCCATGTGGTCTCCAGGCTGAGTGGAAGCTACACATCTGGAAGGAATTTGGGGGAGCAGCAGAAAGTCCTGATGAAACAAGAGGATCTGGGAAGTTGGAGTTATGCTAGAATCCTTCACAGACCCACCAGCAGATGATATTTCAGCTCAGCTTTTGTGCAGTGTTTCATCACTTTACCATTCCCTGGTGAGGGTATCTGTGGGTACAGGGAAACACCTCGTCTCCTCCCAACCCCTCACACCTCTGCTTCCTCTCCTCCAAGCATGCTGACCTGCAGCACAAATCATCATGGTGCTTGATGTGATGTAGCAACTGACATGGGGGATGGCTGACCAAGACAGTATGGCAGAGGAGGTGCCAGGGGGGTGAGCAGCTCTCTTTTTCTCTCTCTCTCTCTCTCCTGATGGTGCACAATCTAACTGCTTCTCTGACTCAAGGACACAAAACTTCTTGAGTTAGGGATGCTGGGAGCAAACTGTCCTGTGGGAAGAGCAAAACTTGAGGCAGGGAAGTGATGGAGAAGCTGGATGGTAATTTCCAAAATGTGATGCCGGTGGAAAAGGGTAGGGATGAGTGCTGTCCATCATCCATGCACAGAACTCTCAGGTTCATCAGTGAGGAGACCGTGGCCTCTCAGCGCTAATCTTAGAGTGGCTTCATTTCCAGTGGGATGCCCAGAAGATGATTTTTTTTAATTGCATGACTTTGCTGACTAAGAGCTGTGTCATACCACTAAAACCTCTTTCACTTTTCCTTCTTGTAACTTGCTAGAACAGTGATTGGGCAGCTCCCACAGCCCCCAAAATTTTGCCTAATGGTTGGCTTCCATTAGGGCAACATATGGTGCTTGCTTGTTGGTTCACTCACTGTATGGGGAGCAGAACTCATCTAGGTGAGAGTACCTTGGTGTGGTCCTCTGTGCCTCTGTGGTCCAAGGTGATGGAGTGAGGCGAGGAGACCTGCCAAGGCAGGCCTTGGGTGAGAGAAGCATCTCTCCTCATCAGCCCAGGCAGGTGGGAAGCAAAGGGTCCTTCACTTGCTGCAGGCTTGGGTTAGCTGGTGCCACAGCAACTGCCCTGCAAGCCTTGTAGAAGTGCCCAGGCAGTGGAGAAGGAGGGGGCAGTGACAGGGGGACATGACTGCAGCACAGGTGGTGGGGGCTGCATGAGCAGCAGGGCTCCTTGGGAAGCGGCAGAGATTGCATCCCAGGTGGGCCCTTCTTTCCCTGCCTGTCCTCATGGTGCATCAGGAGCTCCCTCCTGGCCTCCCAGGGCATGCTCACCATGCAGCAAAATGGGCCTCAGTGAGTAAAGCAGTGTGACACCACGGTGGCCCCAGCCGTGTCCTGAGGAAAGGCGTGTGGATGTTTCTGTTCGTAACAGAGGGCTGACGGGTAGAGACGAGGAGCAGGGCCTACCTAGGAGCCAGCCAGTGAGGAGAGCACATCCCAGGCGGGGCTGTCCTTCTCCAGAATTGTGCCATTTGCTCACCATGCGGCCACACACAGGCGCATACGCACACGCCCGCCAGCCCCAGGCGCACAGCTACAGGAGCGCTCCTGGGGCACAGCTACTGGAGCTCTCCTTCCCCACACCTCCACCACGCACAGCCAGGCTCTGTCTGTGACACACAGCTACGCTGTGACCTCCTGAGCAGCCAGGAGAAGGCGTGTGTGTGCCTGTGCCTGTGCCTGTGCCTGCGGGAGCACACGTGCGTGCCAGGAAAGGGAGGAGGGGACACAGAGCAGGAACTTGCCTCCATGGTGCCACCTCCCAGAATCATTCAACCTTCCCGGCTGGAGCCAAGATTCATCCTCTAGACCTTGAGAATGAAGGCCAGTCCCTTCTTCTTGCTACACGGTGGGGTGGTTAGAACTCTCCTCATTAACAGTGTTATATACATATAAATATATATATATATCTATATCTTTATATATATTTTTCCCCAGCACTGTAGACATGAGCTGAACTTCTCTTTAACGAAACGAGAAAATGGCCATTTTATTTTTTGCCATTGTTTTGGTTTTGAAAGTAGCTCTGTGAAAGAAAATTTTAAAAGCGCAAGTGTGTGTGTAAAAGAGCCAATCAAAAAAACTAAACAACCCAATGAACAAATGATCAAAACCCAGTGATGGAATAAAAAAAAAAAAAGAAGCTTTTTATTTTTTCTTTTCTCAATGTATTTAACTTCTGTTATCTCGTTTCTGTTTCTTTACATGTATGAATGCTCTGCTCTTCTGTGATCTTAAAAAAAATACAAAAAAATACAAAAATTAAATAAACGTGAAAAGGAGGTAATGTTTCTTCATTTCCCCTCCCTTCCTTGCACACTCTGGCTTGTCTCCTCTCTGATGATGTCTAGTGATGACTTTCCAGCCCACAGGGGGAATGTGGGCTAAGATACCCCTTCCTTCACCTTCCTTGGAGGGGCAATGTGGTCCAGTGGCTTGGGACTGAGGGTGCTGTATCCCCCCAAGCAGTCTGACCCCTTCAGTGCAGTGCCTGAGGATGAAGAGCTGGCTGGAAATAGATGTGTGATGGGGCTGCCAGGAGGAGATCCCATAGACAAAACTGCAGTGCACACCCCTGAAGTCAGCACTTGCCTTCAGCTCCTTGTTTGGTTTGGGTTTTTTTTAATTAGTTAAATCGCATGATTGTATGTGTGTGCATAGATAGAGGTTGGGATTGAGGCTGCAGTCCCAGGAGGGGAAGAACAAGGAAGATGATGGAAGGAATGGGCTGAGGCTGAACTGCTTAGGTGAGCACAGGACAGGAGCACCAAAAGACAGAGCATGAAGGTGGAGATGGTGGAGAGAGAGAAGGGGGCTGGTGGGAAAGAAGGCAAGAAATGCTGGCCAGGAAACATCAGGGAGCAGCACTGGAGTGGTTTTGTGACATGGAGGGAGTGGGAAAGCAGGGGAATAGAGAGGGCATGGGGCTTGGAATGAGGGCAGCCAGGACACTGGGAAAAGGGGCAGGAGTCTTGTACCATGGTCACAAACAGGCATGAAAGGAATAGGTTAGAAGGGAGCCCGAGGAAGAGGGTAGCAGAGTAGCCTGGGCAAGTTTACAAGCAAACACAGCTAAAGGGGTGAAGAAACCAAGGAGCAGGAAAAACCCTGGTCAAAGGAGAAAGCAGCACCTGGGCAATTTAAATGTGAGGGATGGGAAACCCAGGACATCTCTAGCCAAATTATTATAATGGGGGTGTGTCATGTAAATGCCACCCGACTGTCACAGCCTGGCATGACTGTCCTTTTCCCAGTGGGAGAATCTCTATTTCCTGGTGGCACCCAAGCACACAGGTAACTGTGCTACTGCACGGGGCAGCATGTGCCTGCACCCAACACCAGGGCAGCAGCACAAGGCTGCACATGGCCAGGCTCAGCCTGGGCTGCAGGAGAGCCTGGCTGCAGCTCTGAAAGGGAGGTGGTCTCATCCTCCCTCACTGCTGGAGCATGAAAATCCAGGGCTTCTTATTTCTGCTCACACCTATGGTCTGCTCTGCCCACGCCTATGTGTTGCCTTCACTGCCTCTGTGTCACCTTCCACTGTCTCTCCTGTTGTCTATTTACAATCCACTGGGGCAGAGACTTGAGACCTCCATACAAAACAGGAGTATTTTCTGTGAAAAGTAATAGCTAATTTTGTTTCTGGAACATAACACATAGAACAGTGTAAGCCTGGTTTCCAGTAGAGTACAGACTTTTCTTAAATTGTGTGAAATTAAATTAAACCAGAGCTGTCAGAAGCACAGCACAAACACTGGGCTAAGCAGAGGTACATCCCTGAGCACGAGGTGCAAGCAGGATGGTGAACATGAACATGAGTAGCACTTACCACACCTTTGCTATTTGAGACTGAAGAGCAGCAAGGGGTTATGAACCCTCCTCCATCACCATCACTCCCTTCCATGGCACTTCCATTCCCTTCCCGAGCCAGGAAGTGCAGCCTGGAGGATCACAGCAGAGCTGGTGGGGAGAGTGCCAGGGCAGGGGGTACCACTGTGCTCTGTGGATATTAAGGTCAGTACTGAGCTTTACTGGCTGATCACTGAGGTGGAAACAGGCCAGGTTTATGGGGCTGTACATGAATGACAGCAGCACTACCAGGTCTTCACGTCCATGTGTGTGCCCTCAACACACCTGGAAAATCTGCCTTTGCCTTAAAGCTGAGGCTAAAAAGAAGACAAGATAAACCCTGGCAAGAACACCTTCTCTTTTCATTAACATTTTAAATGGTTATTTTTAATGGTACATTTAACTAACACTTAGTTATCCATGGGAAGAGAATTTGGCTGTTAACACTGGCATCTGCTTAACAAACAAGCTTTGCATTTGGTGAGGCATGAGCATAACACCAATAGTACTCCTTGCTAACAGCAGACTCATTAACATTAATTCCTGCTTTTACCACCATGAAGAGCTTTTTGTATCTGTAAGAACAATTATTAGATGTACCCCATTTCCCCTGCAAAATGTACACAGGAAATTATTAGCAGTCATGCAGACCTACCAGTAAATGAGGATCTGAATTCTTAGCACTTACTATAACTCAAAATTTCCAGAAGAGTAAGAAAAGTGATGAGATGTTCTGGGGATGGTGCTCTTCATCTTTCTTCACTGAGGAACCTGGACTATGTTCAAGCACTGTTAAATTGCACTTGGAAATTAGTTAAGGGTTATGGTACTCAAAGGCTATGGGAAAATGTGTGTCCATAAAAATATCTTGCAATTCAGCCAAGACTGGCATTTGCTATCCAAAGCAGGCATTGTCAGGATGGGCAAAGAGATACACATCTATGAATGAAATACCAGAACTTAAGGTGCAGCCTCACCAGTGCCCAGTACAGGGGGACAATCCCCGCCCTGCTCCTGCTGGCCACACCGTTGCTGACACAGGCCAGGATACCACTGGCCTTCCAGGGGAACAAGCTGGCTCATGTTCAGCCACTGTCAGCCAGCACCCCCAGGTCCTTCTCTGCTGGACATCTTTCCAGCCACTCTTCCCCCAGGCCAGTTTCACTGCATGGGGTGGTTTGTGGCTCAAGGGCAGGACTCAGAACTTTGCCTCACTGAATCTCACGCTGTTGGTCCCAGCCCATCAATCCAGCCTGACCAGAATCCCTCTGCAGAGCTTCCTACTCTCCAGCAGGCCAACGCTGCCACACTTAGTGTCATCTGCAAACTGACTGAGAACAAGCTGAGCTTTCATCTGAGAGCTGGAAATTGCATTGATTTCCACAGAAATATCTGTACCTAGCACCTTTTTATCGGTCTGTTGGCTGTGTTATGAATTCTGTCCACACATGGCAGGTGTGGTATCTGCAAAAACTTGAGAACACTTTGGAGACAATGAGCTTTACACAATGCTTTCTGATGTTTAATACTTTCAGAGTATATGGTTTGTAGAACATTTACTGCTTCCTCTTCAAAAGTGTCACCTTTCGAGTTAAGCTTAAAACATGGTGCATTGCCCAGGAAACTAGCGGAAAGAATGTTTGAACCAATTTCACAAAGAAGAAGGCTAATTGAAATGCTTAATAGAATTGTCACACATTCCAATAACCTTGATGATAAATCTGATTTTATATCTTTTAAAATATTACAAATTATTACAAAATGCTGACCAGGAATAATATTACTCTGCCAGTAGAAAGCTACTCCAAATTTTTTTACATGGCTGTAGAGCAGCTAAGCTTGGTTTGGAAATCACACCTCGGCATTGATTTGCTGGTGTCCCATTTTGCATGCTGATATTTTTTTTCCATGTCTGTGCCCAGGATTCTATAGGGGTGGCGGTCCCCTGATATCTGAGGAGACAGGATGCAGTACTAGCAGTGGGAGAGTTTGTGGAAGTCACTGGTGGAAGTGGATCATCCCACCTTCTTCTGCCAGCTCAACACATGAATCTGGGTTTTCCATCTCATCTCAGCCTCCCAAGCTGTCTCCTTAGCTTGCAACTCATTTTGCAACCCAGCCCTCCCAAACAAGAAAATCACTCCTGGATCTTAGCTTCTCAAGGATGCCACACTGGCAGAGGGTCAGTGAGGATGCACAAGGCACTTGACACAAGTGTAGGAATCCAGCAAAGCTTCATTCCTTTACAGTGCACCTGGCTCCCAATGCTGGCCCTGTATTCCTGTAGGGAATATACTGATCTCTGGATGTGGCTTCAGATGGCACAAGTTGTGGGAAACAGGCATTGAGCAGTCATCCAGAGCACCCACGAGCTGCTGGCAAGCTTGAGCTAAGACTGTGCATCCTCTTTGAAATGTGGCTTGGGAAGCGTGCTCAAATAAAGCAGACTTGCCTGCTTGTGGGTCCACCACCCATCATAGAGCAGCCTGAGAACTTCCAGCCATGTAAAACCTCTCCCAGATCATCTCACTGGCTGCTGACTTTACTACTTTGCATAACAGAGCCAAGACAAGCCCCTTCCCAGCACCTGTGCTTGTGTGTTGGCTGTCTGTCTAGTGAAGGGAGGGATGGGCTCTCCACATCTCTCCATGGGCAGTACTTAACTCAGCCTGAAATTCCTCCCACCACAGACCCTCGCACACCTTCCACACAGCCTCCTGCCTCGGACCAAAGCTCTTCCCCGTGGCCCAGCTTGAAGATGTGCAGAGGCTCATTGCTGGAGGCAGCTGCTGGTGACAGCCCCTGCTGGTCCCTCGGGGGGCGTGTGGGCTCTCACTGTGGGCAGAGCAGGAGCTGCTTTCCTTCCCACCCGCAGCACACAGCAGGGATGAGCACAGGGCCATGCTCTGGAACAATCTGCTCTTGCTGCTGGTGGTGCAGGGCTCTCCTGCAAGGCTTTTCTGGGCCAGTTGTTGGCACAGCAGAGCTGCTGACAGGCATCAGGGCAAGCGTCCCATGCTGCAGGATGGGGCTGCAGCTGCCACAGCCCCTGGTACCCAGCACAAGGAGCAGAGTGTGCTCTCGTAGTGGGGCAGATCGTGCACCAGAGCCCAGCCAGGCCCTTCACTGCCAGGAGATCTGGCAGCGAGAGGGCTGTGCAAGCACGGTCTAGTGTCGGAATCTGAGGTATTGATGATTCCGAGATTGTAGAAAGTCTCTGTCTTTCTGCCCCGTTGCCAAAGAAGAAGCCATAATTCGTCTGTGCTGTTTTCAAGGTTGTTTATTCTTGCTTATCTCTAACATGTTCTGCTGCCCTGCCGCAGGTCTGTCCTGCAGGGCAGCGTGTGGGGCTCTGCCCCTCAGTGGGATGTTACAAACATTATATACCAGAAACTACCTGTGCTATATTTACAATAATGTGCCAATATCT